ATTGCTGCACGGAACTAGGATATATTGGTTGTGTTGCTTTACAGAACTAGGATATATTGGTTGTATTGCTGCACGGAACTAGGATATATTGGTTGTGTTGCTTTACAGAACTAGGATATATTGGTTGTGTTGCTTGCACAGAACTAGGATATATTGGTAGTTTTGCTTTACAGAACTAGGATATATTGGTTGTGTTGCTTTACAGAACTAGGATATATTGGTCGTGTTGCTTTACAGAACTAGGATATATTGGTCGTGTTGCTTTACAGAACTAGGATATATTGGTCGTGTTGCTTTACAGAACTAGGATATATTGGTTGTGTTGCTTGCGTAGATTTAGGATATATATTGGTTGTGTTGCTTGAACAAAACTATTCTTACAGAATTACCCACGAAAGTCTCAGGACCCTTGTCCTATCCCTAATAGTAAGACTTCTCTATTTAAAGGGTGCCTGGATTAGAGTACTATGAAGTGAACCGTAGGGTTTCCATGAATTACCAAGTTCAATCTCTGTGAATATATTTTCTTGTAAGCTATTTATGTTGGTTGAACAATTCATCTTTTGGTATTATGAGATAAATGTTGCCAGCCCATTTCACTTTTTATCAGAAATGACAGATTTGTACGAGAAATAATTAAATAATTGATAAATCAAAAAGTATTTTCAAGGATCTTTGAAATGCTGTTTAATTGCACAAACACAACACCAAATATCTGAAACCATCTTTAAAATATCAGGTGATAGATAAGTACTGCTGTTTCGTGACTGGATAAACCGTGTGTTCTCGTTGACTAAATGGTCTGTCCAGAGTTGCCAAACCCAACAGATCACGGTGATAATTGGCCATCCCTTTCCATTGTGAGTATCATGTCCGCCCAGGTTACCTTTGTTGCCATCGATCAGTGTTTCCATATTTAGCCCAGACTCCTGTTATTGCTATGTACAGTAGTAACACTTCACTGCTGTATTTCCCTTGTTGCTACCAACACTTGATTGGCTAAACATGGAGCTGGGTAATTTGTCACTAAAGTGCTAGGGTGTTGTGTATACTGTGTAGCCCAGTGTTTAAACAGATGTTTGCAGTTGGACCAAGGTCTGTGCTTAAGACGTGGGATGGTTTATTGTAGCATTAATGTAAATTTGGTTTGGGATTAGCATCAGAATTTTGTCAGGTTACCTGTGGGTGATGACTTTTACATATGATATTCGAAAAGGTGATGAAAATTTAATTTGAAATTTTTATGAGAATGAAAACAAGTCATAAAGTGGCATTCTTAGAATTTTCCCATATTGGGCATCGAACCATTTTAATGAAGCGGACAATTTTTACCACAAAGTTTCCTCAATGACGGATTAATTTAGAAAAACTTTTAACATCACTTTATGACAAATACAGTGTATATAACAAAATATTGCTGGTATATTGCTGAAAGAGGTTTTAAGACCATACTATCTTGCCTTGGAGTATTTTTAAGGACAAGTCCATGTTGGATGCCACAATTTCGAACAACCAGAGTTGTTCCTTTTTATTACTTGTCATTAGATTATAACATTCAGCGTTAGAAATTGGCACTAGTCCTATAGTCATTGCCAAACTGCCCAATAGTTAAGGTATCATAAGGACTATTAGAAATTTGCCATTTTTAAGGGTTTTGCTATATGTTATCATTGTAGGGACTAGTGGACTAAAACAGTTAGTTTCTATCCCTGACATTGTATCAGTGATGCAACCCCTACAGGTTACACACAACCAAATGTATTCCCATAGACTTCTATAGTAACGTTATATATTTTTTTTTAATAACTAAGCATTCAACAGCTATTACCTGTACGTGTGTGCACAGTTTGGCCTTAGAGCAGCAATATAAAAATAAAAAATGACCAGCTTAGCCAGCTCCTTTTCCGAGTACCGGAAGCTAAACACACCACCCGCAGTTTCGCACCAAATGTCACCTACTTGAAAATAGCTGTGGTCACATTCAGCATAAGTCATCATGTTGAAAAAGACAGTACTAAATATAGAAAAACTTGGTCAGTTTTAATAACTGGATGGATGTACATTTGAAAGACATAAAAATCTTACAGAATATCCTCCAATCACAGCCTGCAGATATCTCTCGATCTGCACTGAAGGCTGTAGTAGAACCTACAGGTTCAATCTGATATTTAAAGAAGGGTGGAAGTTGGACCGATTGGTGGGGCTTAGCAAGTTTGAGTCTAATCATTCAAGAGATCTGCAAGTATTCCATCCAACAAAAATTAATTTTCAGGATTTTTGCACTTGCAAGCTCATTAATAACACCTTTCACTGTCATTACTGTAACATGAAAATGAACAACATCACTGTGTTTACGATCATGGGTCAAGCAAGATGAATTCAAAAGACGAAAGGTCATGACAATTCAAAACCCTTCCTTGCTGTGTTGGTTTTGTTATTGCACCACAATAATTTTGTTGTAAGAAAACAGAGTTGAAAGATCGTAAATTTCGTAGTTTATGCTGACAGCCTGAAATGATACAAAAGAAAAGTCTGTGCATATTATACACGTCAAACATATTATTCCAGAATTTAATTGCACATAATTAAGGGTGCATATAACACACGAGTGTGTATTATACACGAATAAATAAGTCTTGTGTACATTGATCAATCGGAAGGGGTGCCAATTGGGATTGTTCACCAGCCAATTTATTAGCAAATATCGCTGTGGGCGCTTATTAGAGCGGGGCGCTTATTACGTCGAATACTTTTGAACTGCTACCTACCTCAAGGTGTCATGTACAGTTTGCTGCTATAGTATTTGAATGTAGGACCCCCTGTATCTTCAACCTATGGCATTGGGGCCATGACAAGAACCCTTTGACTTTCACGCTTAATCTGGAAGGAAATATCAATATAGCTTCCCGCAGGCTGCTGATTGCAATGTTAGTGCTCAGACTATTGTAGCTCCTATACTTTAACGAAGACTTATGACAGTCATACTGCTAAGATCATAGTAAGATCACTTTGTGGAACGGGCCTTGGACTAGAACACTTGCCCATCAAGCATGGGCACTCTTTACTGTACATATTTACTATAGATAGTCTAGTCCCTGGACTCAAACAGTGTCCACTTTTCTAATCAATCCACAGTCATCTGTCCATTCTTCTTTTGTATGTAAGTTTCATAATTGGTACATTGTCATGTTTTAAGCATGCTTAATGGATGGACTACAGTGCTTTACAAATAGCCACAAAAAAATTGTTTGTTTTTTTTTTATATTATTATTATTATTATTTTTATTTTTATTTTTATTTTTATTTTTATTATTATTATTATTATAATAAACTAGAAATTGGCCCTGGCTTACAATATCTACCTATCACAACTACTTTTCATCATTACTAATGTGAATGGGGTTGTAAATAAGAATTGTGATACAAGCCAATTCGAGACAGGCTTGTATAGACCTCTGCTAGTTATGATAATATTTTAACAAAGTTCCTCAGGCCATTGTTTGTGTTCAACATCAACAGTGCCACAATTTATATAACAAGATACTTCTTTCAACAAATATCTGCTCATAACAATTTTATTGCTGGCTTTGGAACAGACAACAAAGCTCACAATGATTTAGGGCTTCAATTACTGTCCCTATCAACATCGTTAAACCCCTACTCTTTGTCCAGCAGAATAGACTGACGAAGAGGGCAGTAGACAAACAAACCTGTCTCTTGTTTAGAGGTATTGTGTGGATATTATAAACATGGCATTGTCTCTGACTTTGACTGTGTTTATGACAAGGATTATGAGGGCTATAAAGATAACACTTTACATTTCACATCCACATGAGTATTGGACACTCAATGTCACGGTCTTCTGGATCAGAAAACTGCTTGCATCAGCTAATCCTCAGCCATTGTTTAAGACTATGGATTTGTTAAGTTCTTGAACCTCTTTCAGAGATCAATACGGGACATGTATATTCATGAATCTAAACTGTTTGCATATTTTCACGTTGAAATGCCAGGCTTAAGCAGTATGTCTTTTTTAAAAATGGTTGGAAATTGTTTTGAAGCAATGTGTCAAGTTGGACACACAGGTGGTCATCTATGGCACCACAATTCCACTGTGCAACATGGGGAACAGGGACCCAGTTGTTTAAAGAACCACAGATATAGATATACCAACCTACTAAGATGTAGCTATGATACCCTACTAAGATGTAGCTATGGCACCGTAAGATGTAGATTTAACGCCTTACTAAGATGTAGATATGATACCCTACTAAGATGTAGCTATTGCACCCTAAGATTTAGATATAATGCCCTACTAAGATGTAGATATGGCACCGTAAGATGTAGATTTTACACCCTACTAAGATGTAGATATAGCACCCTAAGATGTAGATATGATACCCTACTAAGATGTAGATATAATGCCCTACTAAGACGTAGATATGACACCCTACTAAGATGTAGATATGATACCCTACTAAGATGTAGCTATAGCACCCTAAGGTGTAGATATAATACCCTACTAAGATGGAGCTATAGCACCCTAAGATATAGATATAACGTCCTACTAAGATCTAGAACACTGCTGGTCATATTAAAGCCTTGCATATGCTTAACATATTTAGCTGAAGATCTGGGATCAGGAACCATGTTGGGATTACAGATCAGAGTAGCCCCAAGCAACACTTGTTTGTCATAATGCTGACAGAAATGAGGATTGGGTGGTCACTGCATGTGAAAGTGTCATTGTATCCTGAGTGTTCACACATTGTCTTGAAGAAAAATTAGTGGTCATAAAAGTGTTGTGTTCTTCCTTTCACAGACCTCTTTGCCTGATATGTTTCCATATTTGTCAGCACCTTTCATAGAAAACGATTGTCTTGAATTAGTGACCAAAAACAATTTTGTCTCTATCAAACATCCCAGGCACCCACTGGAATAGTATATGTTCCCTTCTGTAAACTTACACAGGTATGATATATTAATTCTGTTTGTTTCAGTGTGTCTACAAGACAGTGTATTGGCCTTCCACAAGCATGGCATGCAAGGACGCAGCTTCAAAGCCAATGAGGTAATATACCAGCATATATCTTGTACTTCTTTAGCTTCCTAAGAACTCTGTGTCACCAACATTTTGTTTCTCAGTGCATTATGTCACCTTTCCCCGAGGACTCACTGTGTTTGTTATATGTTTAGGTAACACAGGAGATCTGTGATCGATCAAGGACGTTTAGGCTGTTGGGATCTGACAGGTAAGTGCAAAATTGTCACTCCCTAAAACAATCTCAAACAACCTTTCAGTAATTCACAATTGGGTATAAGGATTTTAGGACATTTTGTTTCTGTTGGAATCACTTTAATAGTTATCTCCCCTCCTTGACATAGCAGGATTCCATGGAAACAATTGTAATACTGCTGATATTGCAGGATTCTGTGGAAACCATTGTAATACTCCTGCTTTTTGCAGGACCATGGAAACAATTGTAATACTGCTGCTGTTGCAGGATTCTGTGGAAACCATTGGAATACTACTGATATTGCAAGATTCCATGGAAATAATTGTAATACTACTGATATTGCAGGATTCTGTGGAAACCATTGGAATACTACTGATATTGCAAGATTCCATGGAAATAATTGTAATACTACTGATATTGCAGGATTCTGTGGAAACATTTGTAATACTGCTGATATTGCAAGATTCCATGGAAACAATTGTAATACTACTGATATTGCAAGATTCCATGGAAACAATTGTAATACTACTGATATTGCAAGATTCCATGGAAACAATTGTAATACTGCTGATATTGCAGGATTCCATGGAAATAATTGTAATACTACTGATATTGCATGATCCTGTGGAAACATATGTAATACTACTGATATTGCAAGATTCCATGGAAACAGTTGTAATACTACTGATATTGCAAGATTCCATGGAAACAATTGTAATACTGCTGATATTGCAGGATTCCATGGAAATAATTGTAATACTACTGATATTGCAGGATTCTGTGGAAACATTTGTAATACTGCTGATATTGCAGGATTCTTTGGAAACCATTGTAATACTACTGCATTTGCAGGACCATGGAAACAATTGTAATACTGCTGCTGTTGCAGGATTTTGTGGAAACCATTGTAATACTGCTGATATTGCAGGATTTTGTGGAAACCATTGTAATACTGCTGATGTAGCAGGATTCTGTGGATCCACCTCTCATGCTTCTGGTTAATGCATCTAGGTCTACCATTTAATACAATGTAGACTTGTGTGACGTCTCCCATCAATGCCTGCAGTGACATGATCAATTTATTATGCAAGAGTGTTACTACAAAACACCTTGGTTTCTCAGGGCCGTTTTATGTTTAGACTGAATCAATAAACTGAACATTGCTGTGTTTAAGTATTCTGATTGAAGTGAGTGTTGGCGGTATCAGTGTCAGTGGCTGTGTCACTTAAGATCTATTTTCTTGAACGACTAGTTAATTTTAGAATATGGACATACACATTTTCTTTGTAAAATTTGACTTTTCTGAAAAAATCAATGACTTGCATTATGTGTAGATTTTACACACTCATTAAAAGCTTCATGTGTCCATACCCCATGGTGGACTTGACATGAACGTGGAGCGAGAAGGATTAAGTGTTATTGACCAGTCAACTTTGAGCCCAAAATTTTGTACACCAATTTTTCAATCTTTAGTTCAGAGATAAACATGCCGTGTTGTCAGTGTGGAGCCGTGTGAGGTGTTGATTGAAGTTGAAACTTAATGTCAAGCATGATGTTATCAAATCCACAGCAGGATTTATATTCCCTCTGCTGCTGAGGGGGTTCAGTGCATGTAGCAGAGGTAGCGAAGTCCCCAATACTCCCCATTGTTCCTGCTATGGTGGTTGGGTATTAAAGTGTACTGTCAAGCAACAATCATACTTGTTAAAGGGGGCAGTCGGGTAGCCTAGTGGTTAAAGCGTTCGCTCGTCACACGAAAACCCGGGTTCGATTCCCGACATGGGTACAATGTGTTAAGCCCATTTCTGGTGTCCCCCGTCGTGATATTGCTGGAATATTGCTTACAGCGGCGTTAAGCCTCACTCACTCACTCACTCACTCACTCACTCACTCACTCACTCACTCACTCACTCGTTAAAGCTTTCATATACAGATACCCTTGGAAAACGCCTTACTAGTTTCGTGTAATATTTGGCCAAATGGCGACAATTACCTTGTTCTCGGGTAATTTGGCATGAGATAATCAAACACAACAATGTTGCTGTATGGGTCGATTTTCATTTCATGAGTTTGGAGATGAGCTTGAACACAAAATAAACATGCCTGATTTCATCACATTATCATTTCTGATTTCAAGTTAAATTTGATATGTGTTTTCATGTGTTTCAGTGCACTAGTTTTAAATCTGTGATACTCTAGTTATTATACTATCCATCATCAACTGTTATTTTGTATTATTAATTTATAACTTTTTCTAGTCACGGTTCAAGATTTTAACTCATTAACTGATGATGTTAATGACAGACTTTGTTGTGTTTATGAGAGAAGGATGGAATTGGGTTAGTTATCTATGATCCCACAATTGGCTGCACTGAGTTACATCCCTTAGTGGTACCAGGATCCCGAAATATGAACTTGAAATTGAACATCTGACCACAATATTAGAAAAGATAATTTATTAATTATGAGTAATCACAAAATGTTCGATGTGGTTGGCAGAAATGGAATACCGTTCAAAGTGATAAACCGAATCAAACCACACTCTACAATAAAGAAAAGGGTTAGATTGTCCCCCAATGATCTTTGAAAAACAGCCATGTATATCGTAATGAAGTGTTGGGAGCACGGGCAGCCCAGTCGTCTAAGGCGCCGCGATTCGCTGTGCAGAGTTGCGTCCCTTTGGTACGCCAGAAACCTATGATTGTGGGTTTGAATCCCGGTTCGCCCCGATTATGTTTCTAGGTTTGTCAGCACCATACCCGTGCTCGTGGGTTTCACCGAAGTGTCTGAGACCTGCATCACTTCGGGCTTTCCTCCCACATTAAGCTGACATGCCGTGATATAACTGGAATACTGTTAAAAGTGGCGTTAAACCCTACTCACTCACTCACTCACTCACTCACTTCATGAAGTGTGAAATAATTAGACGTGTTTAGCATCCTCTAATTTCCCACTACCCTAATAATCAGTCCATAATGAACCTTGTCAGGTATATATGCTGCTTTGTTGGCTCAGATTGCTTGACAGATTCAATGTCACTGATCCCCAGTGAATTCTAACTTCCACATGCAGGTGCCCCCCCACAGCCTGATCGAGGTGCCAGAAAGGCTATTGTTACAGTCTCATCGTATTATGGATTGGTAATCATGGAGTTGTTTATCTTCATTCCATGCAGGGGGCAGGTTTCACTCGTTAATGGAGTGAAGTGAATACGTTACATTCACGTCATTAATGACTGTTACTTGATCATAAGAACTTTTAGTGGGGTCTGTCGTGGTTGATTGTCTTGTGTTTCTGTTGCCCCATGCAGAGGTTTTGAGTGTCTGAAATATCCCTGACAGTTACATGGTCAGGACAATTGGATAACCATGCCTCGCTTGGTTTGATAAGCTGTAATAAAGAGATCCGTTTGCATTACGCAACAAATCCTTCTTTTCGTGCCATCACAAACATGAATGCAGTTTTGATCAAATGTCGGACAAATGTGACTTTAATGTAATAGGTTTTTTTAAATCCTTCTACGACTGGTCCTCATTTATAAATTGATGGTTAATGTTTTGGGATTTTTATTAATCAAACGGTTTAGATATGTTACACAATACCACAATTAACTAGAGGACTTAGTTTTTAGGCTTGATTGGGAGCAAGAAAAATGCTTTGTGATGTTTTATGAAGAAATAAATCCACAAATACAATTGATTTATCTTTATGTGATGATGATGATGATGATGATGATGTTAGCTAAAGAACCAGAAGTCAGCCACACAGTTCATACACAGCTTTGTTATTGCCCTACTCAGCAATATTCCACCTATTAGATGGTGGCTTCTAAGTAATTAAGTTTGGATCAGACAATCCCCTGGTTGATGTTATGTCAGGGTACTATTGCACCCTATCAAACAAGTCACTAATCCTGACCACCCGATCCCGTTAGCTGCCTTTTACGACAAGCATAAATTCTACCCTGTCCTACCCCCTGTGAGTGAGTGAGTTAGGTTTCAACAATATTTCAGTTATATCATGGCATGTCAGCTTGATATGGAGGTACAAGGTGATGCAAGTCTCAGATGTTTACCACAATGGTTGAAACGGTCTTGCACAGGTATGGCGATGACAAACCTGGAGACCCGTGAAAATCCTGGGTAGAATAGGTCTTCAGCAACCCATGCTTGCCGTAAAAGGCGACTATGCTTGTCGTAAGAGGCGACTAACGGGATCGGGTGGTCAGGCTCGCTGACTTGGTTGATGCATGTCATCGATCCCAATTGCGTGGATCGATGCTCATGATATCGATCACTGGATTGTCCGGTCCACACTCGATTATTTACAGACCGCCGTCATATAGCTGGAATATTGCTGAGTGCGGCGTTAAACAACAAACCAACCAACCAACCAAAGACAAACCTGGAGACACTGTAGGTGGACTCTTGGATTCGAACCAACGTTCATGGGCTTCCTGGGCATTTGAGAAATCTCTGTGAATTCACAGTTGACATTCTTTGACCATGATGTCCTGCTGAGACTGTCTGTGCAGGACAAAGGACATATATCCCCCACAAAACACTTATCTAGTCCCAGTGGTAACACAAATTGATAACTTGGATGAGTTACTGCCGTGGGTAATGAAGTCTCAGCTTGTTACCGGTCACACTTGATCTGATCTGAAACAGACTTCCATTGATAGCCGGCCAGGGAATCGTCAGTGTTTGGACCAAGTCAGGCTGAATGTGGGAGATGATTAGGTGATAATGATTTGCTATGTATAGTACATGAGACGTCAGAGTGGGTCTTTCTGTAGATATGCTTTCTGTATATAGATTTGTCAAAGTCCAAAGAAGTAAGTGTTATTTTTAGAAAAGAGGTTGGAAACTGTGGTAAACAGTTTTCCATATGTTTAATTAGATGTATGTTGCCATGTTTTCAGACTGCCTTTGTTTCTAGGGATCAATTTTTAATGTCTGATGTTAATGTCTCTTAGCTCATCCTGTTAGAGTTTCTTAACCATGTTAACATGC